GTTCGACCAATCTCTCGGAGAAGGAGAGGTGGTCGATATCACTTCTCTCTGTATGCATATATGTTCATGACGATTTTCTGTTTCCTTCGTTTGCTTACTAGCTAGCTAGCGTGTCTAGTCCTCTCTATACGTATGTATAGTACGTAGCGTCGACCAAGTACGGACATAAAAGAGGACACTTCTCTCTATTAATTATAGATAGCTAACACAATATATGAAACACCTAAATTAACCCACCAAAACCCCCAACCCCCCCCCCCTTTCAAAAAAAAAACAAAAACTCCAGCCACAGAAATGCTGACGCGTGGATGCCTATGGTCCCGGTTGGTGCCACCAACCGGGACCAAAGGGTCTCCTGTCTGGGCTCCGCGCACAGGCCACGTGGAGGCCCATCAGTTCCGGTTCTGAATTGAACCGGACTAAAGGGGCAGGGCATTAGTACCGACCCTTTAGTCCCGGTTCAGGAACTGGGACAAAAGGCCCTTACGAACCGGGACAGCAGGCCCTTTTTCTACCAGTGTACTCCGTATGTACTCAGTTGTTGAAATATCTAGAAAGACAAATATTTAAAAACGAAGGGAGTAGTACGTACTTATGTTTTAATAATGTGTTGGTGAATTCATCTCCTTCTATGTTTTCATGTGTACGAGTTCGCAACAAAAAGAAATCATTCTATGCATGTGAAAACGTTTTTTTTTTTGCTTCATTGATTTAATTCAGTACGGCAAGCTTAGTAAGGGGTAATAAGCTGCAAACACTAAGAATTGGGGTGCTGCTTCAATCGGCCGGTCGACTGTGGCCTTACCCTAGCGTAGAATTACATCGTTTTAATCAGTTTTCATTGTGCGGTGATTTTTCTACACCTTACCTGATACACCATTACATTACATGTGTTTCCTTCCTCCTCTCTGAATAGGCGTGCCATGATAGGCCTCCATACGTCGTAATTAAACTTAGTACATGATCGAACATCCAAGCATTTGCTGAATGTAATTCATCTGTCTTGGTCCATGGACATGCATGGAGCATGATTAATTCAAATTCATATGATTGGACAATGCGATTTGACTATTGACCATCTTGTTTTGTTTGGATTGGTGGCTACGATATTACTAACTAGGATGCAAATTATAAACTGTACCTCGTGCATGATGAGTGCCACCCTGGTTTTGTAGGAAGAACAAGGCAATGCACGATATATATTTTTTACACAATTTCCACGCCCTAGAAAACAATTTGCACGTAGTGTTCCCCTTTTGGGGGGGATTCTTGGTAATGAGGTTGAACTCCAGCCTCTCCCTACATGCCGATGGTCTAGCATCGGCTTCTTCTAGAGTTATCTTTCCTCGTGTGCGGGGCGGATTGTGAAATGTGAAATAAAACGATGAATGGGAATAACTCTTAGTACAGCTCACCCAACATTGGGCGGGACAGAATGGACTAACTATAACACAACTCCAATCTATTACTCGCTTCAGTATTTGTAGTCGTCGCTAGGTGTTCTACGAATCTGGATGTAATTTTTATTATTTCTGGTGTTCGTTGTACTGTCATGATTGAAAATGAATATATGGGAAGTTTTTTCACAAAAAAAGGGAGAATACGTGGGTTTTTTTTTGACCTAGTACGTGGTTGTTTTGTTCGGTTCGTTCATGTTTTCCCACAACGGCTCACCCCCACCAATTTTTTCCAACTAAACCCCACGTCTCATTTCCCCACCTACAACTCATCTGGTTTTTTCCACGTTAAAAAGAACCGAAAGGAAACTGAAGGCTTCTTTGCTCATGCACGTGGATAGGAAGATACGTGCAGAAGGCCTTCCTTGCTCGCTTCCTATCTTCCTCCTTCGCCTAGATCCGACTGGCCGGCTGCTCTGTGCCATCGCCCATGGCTGAGTGCCAGCAAACCGACCAAGAACAAGATCATCTCCCTGACCCCCCCCCCTTCCCCCTTCCTCCTCGCCGATCGATTCTCTTGCGTCCGTAACCGATGAGCCTCCTTATCCTCCTTCAGTTTGATTTTATTTCCCGCGGTTGGCATATGGTTCGGACGGCGTGCGCCATTGATGGCGGCACAATGACTTGGTGTCTGGATCGCCATCGCAACACGGGCCTCTGGCCTTTTAATTTGTCTGGTCACTCTAGTGAGGTTTTTTTCTTTCTTTGCTTTCATCTAACGATTCTCTTGGAACTCCTATTTGATGCAATCTCTGTATGGTCTATCTTCTACTTGCGCCTGCATGACGCTTAGCTGTTTCGGCGCAACCGCCTGGCCAGCAAAAGCAATTGTGCATGCGTACGAGTATGAGGGTGAAAATGCAACTTGCCTGTGTTTTGAAAGTCTGTTCTTTTTTCAGGACAAAAGATATTCCTTTTTTACAAACATGATGAAGATGCTCTCTCTCTCTCAAAATAAAAATAAAAAAACATGATTTTTTTAGCAAAAAAATAAAAAACATGATGAAAATGAAAATGCTAGGTTTGTGGGGGGTGGGGTGAGGGTATACTGGCCATGGGAAGCCCGGCCCGGCCGGCCCGGCCCGAAAAAGCCCGATCCGGCCCGGCCCGACGCTGCCCCCGGGCCGGGCTCGGGCCGGGCCGGCCCGAAGCCCGACGGG